TCGAAGTCTTTTCAGTCAAAGTTTAAGATAGGCCTAAATGGCAAACACACAAACAAGAGTAATTGAGGCTGGTGCAATTGTGACTGTTCCAGTGTGTACTAGACAATGATTAAAATAATATAATAATATTTTACAATGATAGAAAGTGTAGTAAAGTGAAGAATAGTTATTAGATAAGCCCGATAGGCCCACGCCTTATACTTCTTTATTGAGAAAAAGGACTATATGCCCAAGTTTTCGGAGGGAGCTCCGAATGAAATATTTATGATATACTCCGTCTCCCGACTCAAGAAATTTTGATATAAGCAGCCTCCTAAAAATGCGTTATGTTGTTCTATTGGACATTCGCAATATGATTAATCAGCGCGCCGTTGAAAAGGAACATAAAACTAGAGGATATTCCAGTTTATAAACGTGATATTTCAAGATTAAAGTTCAACAAATAGCCTTCTTGTCTTCTCGACTTGAACAAGACATCAGCTTTGCGAGGTTTCACAATAATTTAGTAATAGTAGCCTTCTGGACAAGACATCTGGCGAGGAACTAACAAGCCGCCTTCTCGCTGTACGTTTACGCTTCCAAACATTCGCGCCCTATATGCTATTAATCTCTAAATCTACAGGAATATAAGACCACTATTCTAAGAGTTTTGGAATGGAAAGACGCGCTCAAATAATTAGAACCGCTCTAAAAAGAGTAATTCAAACAACTCATTTGGCGTAAATCCCCCCCCCCCCCCCCATGGATTCAACTCCAAAACTCCAGAGTGATTCCCAAGAATTATACACCCATCTGTAATAATGTTTGGGTGTTTTCTCATTCCCACCAATAATTGAATGCTACTTCTAAAGCTTGAAATGAATGCAGGTGTGACTCTGAATTAGAATCTGAATCACAGTACAATAATCTTAATAAAGTGAATACTTACATCGCTCTTTTCTATGTGGCACTCACGATAATGTGCCTTATTCTACCAGTCGAGTCTAGTGCTGCATGCACGCCAACAATAAACTGCATTGCGACAATCAACGACCTTGATTGTAATATCGGACGTTGTGTGAAACCATATGGTTTAAAGGTTTCAATGCATTCAATATTTACAATTGAAATGAAATGTCACAAATCAGTCCGAATTTTATGCCCTGATGTTGCGTCGTTGTTTCAAAATAATACCTGCCAATAGGCGCGTACGCAGGATTTTTTCAAGGGGGGGGGGGGGGGGGGGTTAACATTTATAAATCGGGCCGAAAATTTCGCAACGACTCAGCCAGCCGCTGAATATGCGGGGGGGGGGGGGGGGGGGGTAAGAGGACACTTTTTTCTTTCTTTTTTTTTGGTCTCGAAATCATATCTTATAATCATGTTACTATAGGGCTATTCTTCCTGACATCAAAAAGATTAAATTAATTTGCCGCAACCGGGAAAGAGATATATATATAATATATATCATATGCATTATGCACCTTTAATATCAAAATAACCCTGGGCAAACACATCCCGTGACAGAATGAAAGCGAATAATCGAAATCAGCAATAAAAATACTAGTCTATAAACAAAAGCACGTATTGTGATTTTATTAACGGAAGTGTTTTGCTTCTTCATCATAAATTATGATGAAGAAGCGAAACACTTCCTTTAACAAAATATTATTTTGTTCTTTTATATAGGCATACTGATCAGCCAGAATTGTATTATCTAGGCCTACCATATTCTAATATGTGTGATTTCATGTTTCTGTTAGGCTGTTAGCTTACCTCATAATGAACTTCATTACTTCGACTATGTGAAAACAAAAGAGATGTTTTGAAACATTACTCGTATGTCCAAGCATAGTGACTATGTGAGTCTTTCAGAGCACAAACTTTGTCATGGAGATCGAGGTCTTTCATGACGATGGCCTTATGTGACAAAAGTTATCACATTTTCAGATGTCATTTTGGGAGTCTTTTGGGAGTCCAAATTTGCTACCGGAAGCAAATTCCTTTTTCCCCTTATATTTTTTACATTTTAATTTTGTCTCTATCTTTTTTCTTTCCCTCTTAATTTTTTAAATATTTTTTGTTATTACTACTTTGTACAATATGAGTTTACTGGGAGTAAATAACCCTGGGTCATCATCATATACTGGACTCCGTTGCATAAAATTGCATATTAACTTAATTTACATTATAACAGATAGACAATCAAGATTTGTTTAAATCAATACAGCTGTATCAAACTGTGACACAAGTTATCACATTTTCAGATGTCATTTTGGGAGTCTAGATTTTCTACCGGAAGCACAATTTAGGAGGCACATTCCCTTTTTCCCTCCTTCATTTTTACTTTAATTTTTCTCTCTATCTTTGTTTTCTAATTCTCCGCTTTTTTTCTTTCCCTCTTTATTTATTATTTTGTTCAGTTCAGTTCAGTTCATTGAACCACACAAAGCATGACAAATATAGCTAAGCCTACTTTATTTAAATTGTACAAGATGGGTTTTACTGGGGGTAAGTGACCCTGGGTCAAGGGTGTCGATTTGTATCCGTGGTTGAGGGGGGGGGGGATGATAGGTGCCAAACAAATTTCGGCAATGGATCAAAGCAACCAAGAAGTAGAAGCGTGTGCCAAGTTGCACCCCTTCCCAAGCGCGTAGCCAGGATTTCATTTTAGGGGGGGGGGGCGGTAGTGCGCAGGCGAAGCACGCTCCCTAGGGGGTTGGGTGCAGGGATGGGGAGTCCCACCCCCCCCCCCCACTTCCCCCGCGAAGCGCGGAAGGTATGACGTTTCACTAAATTATTAGAGAAAGAAGACGATTCGTTGGACCGTTCTCGACTTTTAATCATTGGTTGAATCAAGTTCCCCTTCCTCCACGCGTAGCGCGGAAGCGCTGACGTTTCATTAGCTTATTAAAGAAAGAAGACGATTCGATGTACCATTCTCGACTTTTAATCCTTGTCTGCATTCATTTTCGCCCATTCCTGCGAGAAGCGCGGAAGCTTTCACATGTTATTACATTATTAGAGAAAGAAGACGATCTGTTGTATCGTGTCCTTGTCTGAATTCAGTTTCCCCCCTCCCGCGCGAAGCGCGGAAGCTTTGACGTTTCATTTGATTATTACTCTTAATCCGCGTCCGAAATCATTTTCGCCCATCCTGCGCGTAGCGCGGAAGCTTTTACATTTCATTAAATTATTAGTAAAAGGAGACGATTCATCGTATCGTGTACTTTGACGTTTCATTTGATTATTACTCTTAATCCTAGTCTGAATTGATTTGCCCGCAAAGTGCGGAAGCTTTGCTCTTTACATTTTTCACTAAATTATTAGAGAAAGAAGACGATTCGCTGTACTGTTCTCTATATTAATCCTTGTCTGAATTCAGTTTCCCCACATGGTGTACGTATGGAACGTTCGTTCGCAAATCTTTGCATGCACAGCCCGAGTGGTAGGTAGCATGTAATCTCCCGGCAGTGCTTGTCGCAATAGCTTCTCGAAAGGAATTGTCTACCGTTAGTGTTAACGGCCACTAATTAGGCCCATTAGTGACTATACAAAATATAATATGCTCTTCCTGGCTATTTGGGAATGTGTCAGTTTGCAACAGAAATGGAGAAACGCGAATTTTATTGAAAATCCTGTGATATCACGAACATTCATAAATCACTTGTATGAAATTGAAAATAAGTCATGATTAGATTTTTTTTTTTTTTTTTTTACGCCAGTACGCCAGTAACATAGGCCAACACCAGCTTTTTAATAAAACAAAAATAAGTTGTGACATAATAATCTTTCTACAAAAATTAAAAATGTTTTAGGAAATATCAGGAAATAAAATGAGTGAAAAAAACAAACCAATAAAGATAAAATGACGCGAATTTTAAAAAAGGGTGAACGGAAACAACATTACAACTAGTGAACTATCTTATAAGTCATACAAATGCCCGAAAATCTTTCTCCTTGTCTCCGATCTCATCACGAATTCGTCACAGAGTTCATCTATGTTTACACTTTCCGGGATTGTCTGATGTGGATTGCAGATTGCTACTTTTGCGCTTCGCGCTTAACATTTAGCTCGTTGCTTTTTGACGCTGCGTCTTTGCATTTGGCGCACTGCCATTTCTATTATGCTGTTGAACAAATTGAATAAATTCATCAATTCCTGATGAAGCCGTATGAGCGAGAATTCAATTTATTCTTGTCTCATATACGGTTGTCTCATTTACTTCGTATACATGTATGTATTATGAAAATGAGATAGCAAAATGTGTATATTGATGGTCATATCTTGCGAGTAATAACCATTAACTACTCTCATCTGGCTCTCATCATTAATCTTTCTCTTCATTTTTTTTTTTTTTTTGATGGTGAATTATTGGGGGGGGGGGGGTGATTGTACAGGCCACCCCCCCCCCCCCCCACCTGGAATATTGGGGGGCCGGGGAGGGATATATCCCCCCATCCCCCCCCCCCCCCCGGGATCGACACCCATGCCCTGGGTCACTGGGTTCCGTTGCATGATATATCAACGGACCCCTCCCCCCCCCCCCCCATGATTTTGTTTTCACTTGATTCACTTTTTCCCCCATCTCTCAGCTATTTTATGTACAATACTCATAAAACATGGAACTCGCCCCTGGACCTGAGCACCCATAGCTGCATTACTATCCTGGCTGTGTATTAAAAGCTGTGCTTTTGATTCTCAACATTTCAAACATCACTGTACAAAATTCAACTAATTTTACTCAAAATCGGTACTTTAGTGACAATTGATGACACCTAAATAATAGTAAAATACAATTTTTTTAAATTACCTATGTTACAAAAAATAATTTAAAAATTAAAAATGGTGAGTCCACTGTCAAACTTGCCGATCAACCACATCGGTCTAATTATGTGCATACATGTATGTGTGTTAGGAGTGTATTGACTATTCATGTATTCAAATACTGCCTATACGTACACGTAGTGCAGTGCTAGAGGTCAATACGCATTATACATTGACTCTCTCTATGCTTTGCTGAGTGGCCTGAGCTGAACCGTACGGTGTCGGTCGTCAGCAAAAATGGGGCTTTGATTAATGCTGTTGTACTTGTACAATTTACTCATAACACGATGGATCGAAATACCAGCTTTCCATTAACTACTGGCCGTAGAACATTGGGATTTAGAGATGAACGATCTATCCGTGAGGCTGTTTTTGGTAAGAAATTGAATTGTTACGACCATGTTTATATTTTGTCCCTTTGTCCCATGTATTGAATTTTATGTTGGAATTTTAATACCACAATATTACTTGTCTACCTAGACTACATACATACCTCCATGATTACGTGCACACATAGCACATAATTAGCAGCATTACTTTCCTGGCTGTGTAAATTAAAAGGCAATAGATCTACTGTACTTCAGTATATTCACACAATATTTTGTTGATCCTGCTGTATCTACTTCCAAATTGATAAACAATTTTAATGAATCAATGTTGATTAGGCCTAGACTACAAATACATGTAGACTAGCCCTAGATCTAGGTCTCTTCTTCTTCTTCTTCCGCTTCATGGTGATGAAGATAATCGCACTGGTTGTGTGTGTATATGTGGAGACTTTCACATATCCTGTTATTCCACATTTTAACTTGTTGTTCTTGTTGTGCAGATGCATACATGTATATACATGTGTAAGTAAAAACATTCCCGGTCTTGTAGACATTACATCTGCATCCCACTCAAGAAGACCTTGAAGGCATCAAGAGAGGAGTATTAGGCTGGGTCCTGTGGAAGGTTGTTCCAGTCCTTGCAGGTTCTTGGGAAGAAGAAAGAAGCATCTACTCTAACTAAGTGACGAATGGAACTTAGAATGGAACATTACAAGCTTCTGACTGTTCTAATAAACCCCCCCCCCCCCCCCCCCCCCCCCCCCCCCCCCCCCCCCCCCCGTACCCATGGACCTTAGAGTGTCTGAACGATTTTTCAATTTTTCCCTTTGGGATCGTTTTTCACCATTAGACGTCTAGATCTAGACCCTAGATCTAGATCTAGACTAGATCTATGGTTGGATAATAGGCCAGTTTCGGCGGTTACGTAATGCGCGGTTACTGTAACTAAGCCCGGCAAGCTTTGTCAAATCGCCATTTTTTATCTGTGCGTTGTGTATTAGAATGTCGGTTCTTGCCGTTTAATTGCATTCATATCTTTCTATAAAAACTGCGTGTTTATATATGAATTTCTGTTTTGGCTGGAAATGTCTTCCAACTTGCCATTCATCAAGTTGAGTTTCAGGCAGCTGCACTAATTTCTCAGAAAAAGAGGAGTTTCGACCACGGTATACACCCGAGAAAAGACTCGTTAAATTAGCGTCCGCAGTAGCGGACTAGCCTGCCCGTAGCCCCTGACCTACGGGGTCCGTGTCACTCGGTAGACGTGGCTGTGTGTGGGGAAATTACAACGGGCAGCATTTTCGTTAAGTGAACTAGTTACATACCTCCCTTAAATTTGACGATATTCCTGACTTTGGGACCTAGACCTATTCAATTATCTAGTAGAAAATATGGCGGACCATGCATTTATGATCGTCGAAAACTGAAGGCTTTTAAGAGTTTAGAAGACTCTGATTAACATTTTCCGATGGCCATATGCATGTGGAGAAGCTTGAGTACAACCCCCCTCTAGCTAGCTCTCAGCAGCTCATGATAGCGATCGACTCGTGTTTTTTTAGAATACAGGTCAAACCGACGCAAAAAGACAGAACATACCAACTTGAACAAAAAGAAAAATATATAAGTATTAAACAAACAAAAAGTAGAAGTCTAATAGAAAATGTAATAACAAATTTATTTTTAAATGTTTTTTTAAAATAATAATTGCTACGTGAATAACGAAGGTCCAGCATAATTATAATACTGTTAACTTTTATTTTATGATAGGGTCTAATCAAACTTAATTCCTAATCTTATTTTAAACAATAAAATTCTTCATCAGCTGATTCTTCTTCCTTGCTATCAAATGTTTTTTTATTATTACTCTTATTATTTTGTTTCCATTGCTCTATTATTATTTAACAATCTTTGCTTCACAAAGTTCACACATTCCTTTTCCTTGTTCAGTGTTTTTCCGTCCAACATTATTTGTTTATCATTATTCATCATTCTTATTCTAGCTCTCTGTCATCGGACGACATTATTTTATAAATATTATTTTATTAATACAAAGACCTTATAGTGTAATCATTATTACCTTTCTTATTATTTCTCGTTACTTTTGTTAATAATATTGATTCTGCGGTCACTGTGCTTGCTTCTGGTTAGCCGTTTCTCGTCAGCCTTGAAATAGTTCGTATCGAGGCGTTTACAAACATTTTTTAATCCGTAAATTTGTTTTCATTATGAAAATGTGAATCGCGCCTACACGAACACGAACACGTGGTACGCGCGCACGCACGTTCTTATGCAAGTATAAGTGACTGCGTGTGCGAACGAGTGGACAATAGTTCATCACTTCTTTTATTTCTACGTCCAAATTTGTACTCAGTTTCAAGTTAAGGTAAATGCAAATTTGAATGGAAATTACCGATATCGGCTAGCTAACTGATATTTTGGTGCTTCGCTTTCTGTTTCATCACTGGCTTTCAATTCAAGCCAATGTCGCATGTATCATCGACCTCGTTTTTCTTCTTTTTGAGGGGTATCGTGCGCTGCCTGTACCGGGGCCTTGTCCCAACAGGTTTGGCTGCAACTTGCAAGATGTGAATCGCTAGTTCTGTAACAGCAATGCTTTCCTATTATTCCTGCCTAAGACTCAGCGATTTTAAAGATCAAATGTATGAAGAACAAAATCACATCTCAAAGATATTAATTATTCAAGTTTGAAACTGCCTCCTTTTTCTTCTCTCTCTCTCAAAATAGCGAAAACAAACGATACAATCACACCTAGCGACCCGGGCCTAGCGAACACATGCGGTCATGCATGTACATTGTATGCACGCAAAGTGTAGTCTGCTACGCACCGCGAGCTCTTTGTTTGTCCGACCCTCCGATTACGTAATGCGATTTAAAGGTCTCTGAATACATTACGAAACTGGCCTATTGGAAAATACTTTTCTAGAATAATAATATTTTTTTCAAATTTCAAGACTCACCGATGATTATATTAAAAGATACAGCCCCCCAAAATGCAATATTCATCCAATTTTTTTGTCAGAATCGACGAAAAAGATGACATTCAGAGTTGTTTCGTTTTGCTAAAAAAACAGTAAACCACCTCCGTTTTCTCCCGTGTGCGGGTCCATTTGCCAATACATGTACATGTACACACATGCGGTCCAGATGCTTATGTACAGATTCTACGCACCCTCACCATGGGTTTGAGCTGAGCAGAGCTCACGCCTCCCTACTTAGCTGATCCGAAAAAATGGGGTGAAGGGTATTTTCAAACTGTAATGGCTTGTGATCCCTTGGGGCTAGCGAAAACATAGGCGCATAAATATATATATATTACTTAGGACTGGGACTACTTATCGCTCATTTCTAAAAAGTGGCAAATCTCTGAGCTACAATGGAAATAATGTTTAACTTTAAAATTGCTGTTTTGACAAGATGTTTTTAGAATTCCGAGATGACGCCCCTTTGGAAATATGGAAATTAACCTGCCTTTTCATATGACACCTCATTTATTGAGTATCACCTTCAGAATCACAAGCAAGAAAGGTTTGAATCTTGATTTGGTACTAAAAACATTGACCAATTTTGCATGGTCGTGCAATGCACGTAGACTGCATAGGGATGCCTGCAATCTCTATGGGAAGGATTTTAGCACACAAAGTCGAGTGCGCGATCAAACACCCTACTTTTTAGCTCATCCGGCCTGAAGGGCCCGATGAGCTTATGCCATGGCGTCCATCGTCCGTCCGTCCGTCAGTCCTAGGGCTAGGAGGGGGATTTAAAACTTCTATACAGAATCGTGAAATTCATTATCTGTGCTAATTTATGCAAATTTATTCGAAATCACAAAAAAATGCTTCTTCTCCTTCATTTCTCGACCGATTTTGATTTGGTGTGCTTTATCTGGTAGAGTTAATTTTAGTTCACTAAATTTCTACACAGAATTTTGAAATTGTTCTCCATTAATTAATTATGGTAATTTATGCAAATTTATTCCAAAAATAACAAAAATTGCTTCTTCTCCCTTATTTCTTGACCGATTTTGATTTGGTTTGCCTCATCTGGTAGAGCTAAATTTGGAACACTAAAATTCTACACAGAATTTAGAGATTTTGCTCCATTGATTAATTATGGTAATTCATGCAAATTTATTCCAAAAATAATTTTAAAATAATTTAAAAATCACAAAAAATGCTTCTTCTCCTTCATATTTCGACCGATTTTGATTTGATTTGCTTTATATCATAGAGCTAACTTTGGTACACTTTACCTCTACACAGAATTTTGAGATTTTACTCCATTGATTAATTATGGTAATTTATTCAAATTTATTCCAAAAATAACAAAAATGCTTCTTCCCCTTCATTTCATTTTTAAAGTTTTGTGCAATATATTAGGATGATTATGTGCAAAATATTAGGATGATTATGTGCAAATATGATCTCTCACAGAAAACACTTGATTTGTGGATTAAAAAGAGGAGAAAAGAGAGGTTGAAAATCAAATGTTGTTCAGCTAAATAAAATTATGTCCCTTCCAGGGCATCAAATTTTTAATTTTTGACCAGTTCAAAAGTGTACCACATAAAATTTACGATATCTGTTGTTGCAAGATGTGGATGAGTGCTACGTCATTGACGTTCTGGTTTTATTTACACAATTCCTTGCTGTCTGCTGCCTCGAGATCACTGGAGTGAAGAAAGATAACTACCGTATCCCTATTCAGTGAAGGATTAGTCCTTTTTATGGAGACAGATTCTTCTACCATTTTTGACTAGAGGGCAATTCCACGGTAACGGAAGGACACTCAGACAAGATTTTTGAACTTCAGGTTCATACTAAAAGAACTGTTTTATTAGTATAAGATGTGAAACAGTACAGATATAATACCTATATAAGTGCCTTTAATTCTCCCAAAAAAAATTGTCATTATAGTTAAGTAGTTTAAGAATGTGCATATTAATTATCTCGGTAACGGAAGGACATAAAAATGGACATGGTTTTTCCAGTTAATTAGTGTTTATCCAAACTTTGTGAAATTGATGAAGCTTTCCACTTGACTGAAACACATTTTGTTCCCCATAGTTTAATACATACTAATAAAACATTTCTTTTAGTATGAACCTGAAGTTCAAAAATCTTGTCTGAGTGTCCTTCCGTTACCGTGGAATTGCCCCAGAAGTACGTTTCAAACTCAATAATGCGGGCATCATTCCATTGAGTGTTGTTTCCAGTATAAAGGGCGTATTGCCGTATTCTACTTCTGAATGCGCTGGAATGCCTAATATGAGGGTTTTTGTGCCCTATAAAAAGATCACACAATACGGGCAGTGCAATTTAAATTTCAAGGGATGGATTAGAGTTTTTATCGCTCAAGACGGCTATCTAGAATGTTCTGAATTGCCAAACTCCAGAGTTTCCAGGGGCCCTGACTCCTGGATCCCTGGCTCTGGGACTGTCCCTGCATCCCACCAGGGGCCCTAAGGCGGAATCCATGGACCCTATTAGTAAAGATGGAAGTAATCCCAAGTCAACCTGCTGTTGTATAAAATTGTCTTTAGGAGAGAGTGTGAGTTTCCATAGCTCAAGACAAAGATAGTTTGCTGACAAGATATTGGCATAAATCCTAGCAGAAGGGGGTGGAAGCACATACATGTACATGGATAGATTATATGTTTATCTACCTATCTAGACTTGCTATGATGCACATTATGTCAGAGGCAGATTCGCCGTGGGGAGTTTGGGAATTTTCCCCACGAGCAGCTCTATATATTTGGCCGAATCAAGGTCCAGTCGATTTGTGGTCTGAAGGCCACTTGATAAATGCAGTCCGCCCCTGGAAAATAAGTTTTGTGTCAAAGCTTTTGAAGTTGTGAATCTTCATTAATTTTAAGAGTAATGAACACAATGGTATAAGAAGTTTGGTGTACATTATTGTGCTCCCTCAGAAAAATGAACTGTGTAAAATATGAGGACCCCAGTCCAGGCCCCAACTGGGTTGACAAATAGCCAGAATGAAATTTTTTGCCTTTGAGATGACATGCTGATTTTGCAAGACAAAATGCAAATCCAGCAATTTGGGGTGCGAACAAGTTGACTCTATACAAGGGATCATTAATTTGGGCAATATTGGCACCCCTGTATATGCGCCTTGGACCGATGTTCCTTGCAAAAAGAGATTCTGAACACTAATAGCTGTCAGCACAAATGATTGGCCATTTTTCACATATTTTCTGGATCATGTATAAATCATAGATTCGAGGCAATGCCTAAACTAATCTTTAATTCAATTCTTTTCTTAGAATTTAGATGCTGTACAGTACAGTACTGTAGTGTAGTGTAGTGTATTTTGTCCATATCCATTTTACTTGCATGTCAAGTTAGAATACTGGTAGAATGACACAGGGGGTAACCAGATTTTGTCACACTAAATGAAGAGCCCCCAAAACAGTCATGGTATTTTTTTTTTTTTTTTTTTTTTTTTTTTTTTTTTTTTAGGGGGGGGGGGGGTAGGGGGTGGGTTCAGGGGGTCATTGTTTTACACTAAATCATGATTATGACAAGCCAAAATAGAAAGTAAAGAAAGAATAAGGTGATCAAGCATAACAAAACAAAGGGGACAGGTTCAATTTTACAAAATCTCTGAGTCTCTGACAAGCATAAAAAGTAGATTCTGGTCCCATGTGACCCCCTTCCCCAATACTTAACATTACCACTTGTGATGTGTACAATGAGTTGATGTCATATCTACATGTATGTCGTGGTCCATCATGTATGCAAGTTCACCTTACATGTTTTGTTTTAAACTGCTGTGACACAGTCTTATACAAGCAACCAAGAACAACAACAACCACAACAACAATAACAAAAAAAACTTAATAAATTTGATCATTCTGAATGATTTATATCAATTCCTCTCTCGTCCATGTACAAGCAACCAAGAACAATAACAACCACAACAACAACGAAACTTTAATTTGATCATTCTGAATGATTTATATCAATTCCTCTCATGATTGTATCTACATGTAGCCCTGACTTGGTTTTGGTTTACTTCCAAAGGGGTGATTCTGATATTATTATTACCCATTTTTCCCTCTTCTTTCACCTATTACAGGCAGTAAGGACTTTGTTCAGAGGATGAAGCTTGATACAACACTTGATGTGCACAGAGGATGTGTAAGTCTATATGCAGTCCTGATAATTACTCAATTAAGATCTTTTCCTGATTTTGTTTTTCTCTCAAATTGTATTTCTTTCAGATTTTACCCCTATTTTCCTTTGTTCCCCATATTTTTTTACTCAAGGGGGGGGGGGAACATTTGTTAGATACTGTACCATTCCCCCCCCCCCCCTGAATCCTTTTTTTTTCTTACTCAAGTGGGGGGGGGGGGGTTGAAAAGAAGAAGAAAAAAAAATCTGTAAAGACAATTCATTGTGGTATATCTTAGGTCTACATTTGACAGAGTAGGGCAAAGGAATCTTAATACCCTTTCATGATGATATCTACTGTGAGGGAATGCAAGCTTAGGGCAGGAGAGGTCTAACTTTGAATAGTTAAAAGAAATCGCTGTGATTCTCTTTAGATGAATCACTAATCAGACATGAGAACATGAGCAGTTACAGCAAGAAAATGAATCAAGAATGATCTTCATATTTACCGCATCGTTTTCATTGATTGCATTTTGTGAAATGATTAATTATTCAAGATTTAAGATTCTTCTTCTTATACGTCTTTTTTTTTTTTCTTCTTTTCCCCTCTTCTTCCTCTTCTACTCCTCTTCTTCTTCTTCTCCTCCATTTCCTTATATTCTTCTTCTTCTTCTTCCTCCTCCTCCTCCTCCTTTTCCTTCTCCTCCTCCTCCTCTTCTCCTCCTCTTCTTCTTCTCCTTCTCCTCTTCTTCTTTTTCTTCTTCTTTTTTGTTCTTCTTCTTGTTTTCCTTCTTTATTGCTTTGCCTCTTCTTCTCCTCCTCCTTTGCTGATCATACAGGCCACCCTCTGGTGTATTCTCATAATGTACTGTTTCTTAATTGTTTCTCGTTTCAGGTGAACACAATTTCATGGAATGAACAAGGAAGCCTGATTCTCTCAGGATCTGATGATAAAAAGCTCTGCTTCACAAACCCATACACCAAACAAGTACAGGCAGCCATCCCGTCGGGTCACAGATCTAATATCTTCAGTGCAAAGTTCCTGCCTTGCTCAAGGGATAGACAGGTGGGTACATGTACCATTACAACAAGAGGAAAAAAGGGAGGGAAGGAGGAAAAGAGAGAGAGAGAGAAAGAGAGAGAGAGAGAGGGGGAGAGGGGCTGGTGGGAGGAAGAGATAGGGAGAAGGGGGGAATCCCATTGAGTCACAGATCTAATATCTTCCGTGCAAAGTTCCTGCCTTGCTCAAAGGATAGACATTTGCGTACATGAAGCATAGCAAGAGAAAGAAAGGAGGGAAAGCATAGAGAGAGAGTGAGATAGAGGGGGGCAGGTGCAGGGAAGGGAGGGAGGAAGAGATGAGGACAGGGGGTGGGGGGAGGAGGGGATCCCATTTGGTCACAGATATAACATTTTCAGAACAAAGTTTCTGCCTTGCTCCAGGGATAGACAGGTTGATAGAATGGCAAGAGAGAGAGAGAGAGGGGGGGGGGGGAGGGGTGGGGGAGGCCATTCTGTTGAAGATCTAACATTTTCAGTTCACTGCCAAGTTCCTGTCTTGTTCTAAGAGAGAGAGCTAGAGTGGGAATTGAGGGAACACACAGCGAAGGCAGGTCAATGGTGGAGAGATACCATGCGACTTGGTTTTTAAAAATTTCATTGCTGTTTTCTGGCCTTGCCAGAGAGATTGTCAGGTAGTAGTCAGTGTTCAAAAGAACGGCGAGAAAGCAAGAGGGTTTTGGAGGGTGCAATTGTGCTTGCTTTTAAATTGTGAATTGTCATCCCATTAGAGCTGAAAGTTGTTTCTGACTTTGATATTCCTTGCTGATATCAGTTTCAACTCTAAAATGTTTTTTTCTCCTTCCAGGTTGTTTCTTGCTCCGGAGATGGGTGCGTTATGTTCAGTGATGTGGATAACCCGGATATGTATGGCCGCAACTCTTTCAACTGCCATTATGGAACAGCTTACGAGGTATGTGTGTGTGTACATGTGTAGGTTGCAAAGGGACTCTTCAACTTGGCAACATTTGGTCAAATGATTATACCAATATCCAAGGATCTTCTAGTTATCTTGGACATCAGTTAGAACCTGGAAAATGGGTTCCCTTTTTTTCCAATCAGGAAAAAGTCAGGGAATTTGAGAAAAATCACATCAATCGGGGTAAATATCAAGGAATTACGTCTTTTGTCTTCATGAATTGCTGAAAATGTGAAGAACCGGCTTGCAGAAAATGAAAGATTTGTACTTACATGTACTTATGAGACATTTGTTTTGTGTATCTGTGTTCCGGTAGAAAGATGCTGTATTGTTCTAAAGTTCGGTAGCACAAAAGTACGCATGTAAGTTTGAGACAAATCATTTGCGTAAGCATATATTTTGGGAAGATTCAAATCCCTCCTGTTTCAAAGGTTGTTCTTTTGCTATCTAGTATATCTTCCAATTGCAGATTGTGTGGCTAATCCGCAACACTGGGAGTTACAGCAAAAACCTGTTCTTAAATTCAGAAGTAGTGATGACACTATTGAAGTGTTACAGCTGAAGTTTTTTATCATGACTGCAAATGCAAAGGTGATGAGTTCATGTGAATAATACTCTTCAAGCACTCTTGTCTGTGTTATTTGACCTCAGGTCGTGACCTTGCCCTCTGACCCCAATACTTTCATGTCATGTGGTGAAGACGGGACAGTCAGATGGTTTGATCTCCGCATCAAGACTAGTTGCTCAAAAGAGGAATGTAAAGAGGTAAGTCGTTTCTTAAACATATATGCATTTACCCTTGCACCTGTTGTGGCAAGATGTGTCTATCCTACTTAAGGCTCATCGTTCACCAGCAGGCCTGTACAAACATAGGATTACCTTAAATATATGCTTATGAACAAAATACAATCTATCATACCCATTTCGGGTATTTCATAAGCTTTCATTGCCTCAAATACACATCAAATTGGCTTTAGCCTTCTGCACACTATACGATCCTTCTGCGATCCGAAGAAAGGTAATTCAACTGAATATGGAAATCTAGACAAACATCATCTTCTTGATTTAAGTTATGAATAATGATAAGAATACTAAAATCCTGAAATGTTAGCGACACTAAAGCCCCTATCCGATGAAAATACAACTTGATATTGCTTTCCCTTTGTCCAGGGAAGTTTGACATCTGTTGAAATTTAGATTTGATCATTTTCACAAGTTAGATGTTCATATCAAATGCTGATTGTCCTTAAATGTCCTTTAAAATTGTGTTGGGAAATCTCATCACTAATCCATGAAGAGATTCCAGGGACGAAATGCTATTCTTATTTTCACTGTACTCGCTATCTGTTGAATCTTTGAATTTTGCTCATTTATTACTCTCTTATCTCTGTTGTGGGTAGGATGTAATGATCAACTGTCGTCGTGCTGTGACGGGTATCTGTGTGAACCCCATCCTTCCCTACCAGCTGGCCGTCGGGTGCTCAGATAGCTCCGTTAGAATCTTTGATCGCAGGATGCTGGTCACCAAACTCTCAGGTAATTGAACCAAATTATTCATAAAAATAAATTAAGATTTTCACAACTGAAGCTGTGACCACAAAAGCTGTCACCGTGTCCCTAAGGACGTTGGATCCACAAACATATTCAAACCATTTTTCCTATCTTTGAGCAATTCTGTATGCCTTCTGGAAGGTGCTGCCTACTAGAATGTAACTTTCCCATCTCTTTCTTGGTCTTCCTTGCCTATTTGTTCCAACAATGAGCAAGCGTTCATTCTGGAGACATGACCGAACTAGGTCAGTTGGACTTCAGCAATGCGGGCAAGGATTCGCTTCTTATGTCTTCACAATTAAAAACTACCCACTGAGAAATAGCTATTAGAAAGATTCTGATAATCTAAAGTAGAGTTCTGCAGCACAAGTTCAAGCATGTTAGTATCGACTTGACAAGTCCACTCAACAATTCTATTCTCAATGATTATTGTGAGCTCCTCATGAATTAGAGGTGTTACGGTTTAGTGGATAAGTCTTTGGACTGTTCCTCCAGCAGCATGAACTTTCTTTGGCATGACCTTTATCTACATTTGCCAAACTTGATCCAAGTGTAGTAAGTGGGTACCTGGTAATATATTCCTTGAATGAGCTGAGCACTAAGGTTGGAGGAGCCAAAGGCCGGGTAATAATATCCAAAGTCCTTTGGAAACGCAAAGATGTGTTATATCATAATTTGATATGCATTATATGAGAATGGCATATTTTTATTACTATTACCTACATTGACTATCGCAGGGAACCACATAGGTCGTGGCATGCAGGGTATCCTTTGCCGATTCTGCCCGACGCACCTGCAGAACAAGTACAGTCGTCCTACCTCCCTGACCTACTCTGCCAACGGTCAAGACCTACTGGTCAGCTACTCCTCGGACTACATCTATCTGTTTGGTACCAATGCACGCTACAAGGAGAATAGTGAAGCCTCCTTTGGGGCGGAGAGCAAGGGGCTAGATGTGCTGGAAGCTGATGAAGAAGACAAGGATGAGGTAAGGTCCACTTTTAGCTACGTAAAAATGTTGTTATATTTATTATTGGTAGTAGTATTACTTATACCGCGCTTTTCCCATAAGGCCCAAAGTGCTTACAGTAGATGAAAATTAGAATTACATAAATACATGTAAGAAGAAAAACAGTCTTGCAACTACAAACTGCAAAAAAGATGTGTTTTTAAGGCCTTTCTGAAGGTAATAACTGATGGAGACTGTATTTTGAAGAAGATACAGTAGATGTCCTATCATCGGCTAATGTGCGGGTACCTGAATATGTGAGGCGGGGAGGATCACTGGCTGACCTCAATAAATTCAAACAGATATCTAAATATTGTGGAGCTTGATTATTGAGTATTTTGAAGACAAACGAGAGTAATTTAAAAATGACAAGCACTCTTTGTAAGTTATGGTTAATATTCCTCATTTGAAACGTAATGTGTTGCGTTGGTTTCAAAATGATCTGGATCTTGAAAATAAGTCAATGCAATTTGTGATTTTAGAAAAAATTTGCTCCAAAGTTTGTTTGCATCCATTCAAATTCATATGTGCTTTTAAGGTATTTGTATCAATTGACAGGTCTACCTATAAAGCCAAACCTGTCTGTTAAGACTACCCAAGGGAACAGGAAAACTGTAGGCAGGTTGCCTTTCTAGACAGGTTCAACAACCTGCATGTCTTCCTCAAAGGGAAGGAAAAAGAGGAGAAAAGGTGACCTCATTTACAATTAACGGGTTCGACTCTTTTCTGTTGCTAAATAAGCACTACACCAAATTACAGTGGCTTGTTATTGATGATGTCTGTCTTTCATTTCAATTCAATTCAATTCAAATTCAAATTCAAATTCAAATTCAAATTCATTTCAATTCAATTCAATTCAATTCAATTCAATTTAATTCAATTCAATTCTATTCTATTCTATTCAAATTCAAAATTTAATTCTTGTTGATTAGTTTGCAGCTGATAATCCCGTCAAGAGACTACGACTGAGAGGAGACTGGTCCGATACAGGACCTAGAGCCCGGCCAAGAAGTGAACAACCAGAAGGTGAAAAGAGATTCCCCAAAATATCTATTATGAGACTTCATCGTAATGGTTTATGAATTATAGTGTCCTGTTTCTTGATTTAATTTATTTAATTGAGCTATCTGTCTCTGAGTTGTGAATGTAAAATTATCCTTTTTGCATCTATAGTTTATGAATATAGATATGTTTGTATAAATAGTAGAATGAGTGAAAAAAGATAGAATTTCATATTTCTTCTGTGAGTATCAACATAGTGCCTGAAGTTACTAAGGCTGTCTCATACATGACGCATGAACTAAAGAAAATATAAATTGTAGTGACTTTATATATCTGCATTTTATAATACATACCCTAGCAAGTAGGCATAGAGGCCTTTGGCACACTTTTGCTTTTCACCCTCGAAAAAGTATACCTTGTGCCATTAAACTTCATGCAATGTTTTGGCGCTACAGCTTTTTTGTAGGTGGTTTATCGCTTCCTGCTTGAGCTTCCATTAAAGGGATCGTTTAACAATGTTAAATCTGAGATACACAGCCCTACGTGTTATCAGTGTCTGTGATATGGTGTAATATTGAAGCCCTAAAAAAAAATAGCGCTTCAAAATGATCAAGAAGTGCCTCAAAAAAGTAAGAATCTTTGAGTGACAGGTATGTTTGAGTGACAGAGTTGGCAGGTATGCAATACTCATTTTCTCCAATAGACTAGTGTTATGAAAACCGTTTGGCAAACAGTTTTCAAAATTTGTAATTCCAATCATAAATATCTTGATAATCAGACAAGCAATAGGCTTGTAAAAGTCACGGGGTTCCTGACTGACCTAAAGGTTTATAATTATCATTGCAGCATGAGCTAAATCCAGAATTTTGTTTCAGAATCTGAGACAAAGTTACTGGATTCCTTCACTGTATAATGTTTATTGACACAAATATTCTTTTCCATTCATCCTATTGTGTCATGATAGGTGAGCGACCTAGATCAACCATGGTGCAGAGGATGTCTGAGATGTTGTCCCGCTGGCTGGAAGAATCGTCTTCATCGCCCCGACGACCCGTCAGATCTGGCCAACCAGGCGTCATTGGCTCTTCCTTCCCAACCTCTGCATCGGCTACGTCAATAACTCAGTCGACATCAGTAGCAGCTTCAGCAACACCATCCACTTCAGCAGGTCAGCTGGTTACAACTGAAGCAGCTGAACCGGTTACAACTGAAGCAGCTCTACCGGTTACAACTGAGGCAACAAGTTCACAAGTGCAACATGATGGAAGTCATGAAGACCTTGAGGAAAAGGCAGGAGCATCAAGGACGGGGGATTCATCAAGAAAGCCGGACGTTGTTCCTAAAACTGATTCAAAAGTGCAAAGAATGTCAGAGAGGACATCAGAGGATGTCGAAACAGTCTCAGAAGAGAAGGGTGTGACAGAAACTCTAAGTGCAATGGATGGTGCAATAAAGAAGAAGAGTGGAAAGGAGATGGACAGAAGAGATGATGATAGAGAGGACAAGGGATTGAATGACTCAAGAAAGGAAAGCCAAAGATCAAGTAGTGGTCGGGAGGCCGCTACAACACGCAAGGATGAGGAAGGAGCAGCGGGCTGGAGAAAGGGGCTGAAGTCACGAGGGGGGCGTCCAGATCACCCAGAGCAAAGATTTGGGAAAGGTTCTGGTGAAGTAGGCAAAGAGACTGAGCTACATAAAGCAGCAGGAAAGACACAAGAGTTGGAAAAAGAAAGCAGAAAGCAAGATGGTCAGAAAAAAGAGGAAGAAGAAAAGAAAGGCATCTTTGCTTTTGGAGATAGAATGGAAGACAAAAAACCAATGGTAAGAAACTTGAAAGAAGGAAGCCTTTGCATTAAATATTAATTCCCTCTTATAGTGATGAAAATTGCAAGATGTTGTTCCCAAAATAGAAAGCTGTGCGATAAGTGATTTTCACAAACTGCAAAACTAATCTAAAGGTTAGAGGAGGTATTCTGACAATAATTGTATCTTGATGTTTGTAAAGTGACTTTGATTGCCGTATCAAGTTCTAAATTTGTGTAATCTTTCATTGGTATGTACAAAGACATTTCAAACGTACACGGCCACCTAAATCAGTTAAATCAATGACGCTCTATAAGTTTTAAATGTATAGTTCAATCATTTCACTAGAATCTTGATGAAATAGACAGTACCACCCCTGCATTTTTGGTAGAGCCTATTGAATTGGAATTTCTGGCTGGTATTATCACCATTTCCTGTGTAAGTTTGTGCCTTGATGGCTCATAGGATGGCATGTTACATCGAGTGTTTTAGCATAATTGAATTTTCTATCAAGAATTATAGAGGTGTTGTGGTCTAGTGGATAAGTTGTCGGACTGTAGATCACATGGTCCATGGTGCGAGTCCTGCCACGGCACTAATGTCCTTTGGCAAGATATTAATCTACATTTGCCACTCTCCACCCAGGTGTTGAATGGGGACCGGTAGGAATTCCTTTAATGCTGTGAGAGCCGAAATCGGCTGCCTAGCAGAGCCAGGGTAAGAGTTGGAGCGCCTTGAGCACCATGCATGGTGGCTATGTGCGCTATATAAATATCCAATATTATTACGGTATATGTATTTTGTTCTTGCCCAAGTAGCCTAGACTGACGAAACAGGATAGTCTTGAGCACACACGATCACGGAAGCACAGCATCGTTGACAACCCTCCCAACTTACAAGCCATTGGTGATCCCAGCCCCAGCAAAGCAGGACCATCATCATCTGCAGCTGAGGAGAGGAAAGATCATGGAAAGGATAGGGAAGGGGGAGATGAGATGGGAAGAACTGATGGAGATGAAGGAAGAAGAAAAACAGATGGCAAGAGAGAAGAGGAGGATGAGAAAAAAGAGAAGAGGAGCTCTATGCAGAGCATGGGATCAGAAACTTCACAAAGGTGTGTAAACTGTTCATTTATTTCCCAATGTCCCATGTCTTTAATACCCCCTCCCCCCATCCCCAGTAAAAAAAAGTAAAGAAATATTGTTTGATAGAATTAACGTATTCCACATAGCAAGATCAATCACATACATGTATGTGGGGGAGGAGCGGGAGTGGTTACGTCGCCGGACTGTCGATCACAAGGTCCGCCGTTCGAGTCCCACTGCGGCACTAATTTCCTTTGGCAAGACATTGATCTACATTTGCCTCACTCAACTCGGGTGATGTAATTGGGTACCTGGCAGGAATTAATTCCTTGAAATGCTAGAGTGCCATGATTGCACCACAGCTAAAGCCGGGGTAATAATTTCCAATTTCGGAAGCGCTTAGAGATTTAATTGTAATTCGTGCTAAATAAAAGCGAGTATTATTATTATTATTATTGTTGGACAATCGTCTTGTCACAAATTTTGAAAGTTATCCAGATTTTAAAAAGTTTCTAAACAGATAAAGGCGTCTGTCATTGACAATTTGAAAAATAAATCAGATCTTTTGTTTGTCTTTTGCAACTTTTGCTAAATGTGATTTGCTTATTTTCTTTTGAGTAGTAGCCAATCCATGACGTGCAGTGAGTCTGACAGTGATGAAGACCTGCAGGTGCTAGGAGCTGAGAGGGAGAAGAAAACACCTCACCAAAGGGATACTCCTAATCAGTGAGTTATAAATAAGTATTGTGTTTGGGTGGAACAAATCAATGACTTGACTAGACCAGGGGGGTGTTTCACAAAGATCCTAAGTTGAACTTATCTCTAAGTTTGACTTAAAACTTATGGAAAGCTGTTAGCATCATTGAAAAAAAAATGTAAAAATTATTTTAAAAGGCATAAAATGTTGATTCAAATCATGCATATTTTCTATTATCTTGGGAGATTTCATGTTCTTGATGTGGAATTCATGAAAAGTCTAAAATCCTTGAATTTTGCTTTTGAATGTATTTCATTATAAGGCTATAAATGGCTCTCCATAGTATTTAAGTCCAACTTAGAGTTAAGTTTGACTTAGAATCTTCGTGAAACACCCCCCTGGCCTGATAATTTCCTGATTTTACCCCTTTTTTCCCCAATTTTTCCTGATTTTCAATATTTTTCCCCAATTTTCTAGCTCAAAAGAGGGAATGCTGTCTGATGCCATCATTTTTTACCAAATTAAAAAAATCTTTCCATCCATATGTAATTTGTTCTAATTTTCAGTTGTAGTGAATTTTTCTTTGTGTAGCTCCTTTAAGCTCTTGGTCTGTTAAACAAGAAACCATTGTTATTATTATTGTTGTTGTTTGTAAACAGGCCTAGAGAGCGTGTGAGGTCGGAGGCTGAAATGAGGTTGAGGGAGCTCTTCAAGACGCGCAAGGAAGAACGTGAGAAAGAAGCGGACGTCATCAAGAATGTCTACTCTCCATCTGTTGAGATGGTTTACAAGGGACACAGGAACTCAAGAACAATGGTAAACAATAGTGGGTTGCCAGCGCCAGTTTTCTCTGTCAAAATGTCGTTTTTTAATAATTTTTCTGGGTCATTTTTTCTACTTAATCCTCCAGGATTTTGCATTGGTTTACACAATTCCCATAAAGATACATTGTGTAATAGTCGTGATCTTTAGATTTATAAACATCAATCATATCATTGAAGTTCTACAATGATTTGCTTTGGTTCAAGGGTCTCTCTGAAAGTGTGTTGTAAGTCTGATAGTCATTTGAGAAAGAATTGATGCTTTGCATTCGACCTTCCTGAACATTATGTTGGGATTGCAGAGCGAATTTCAATTCCATCCCAACTCCCAGAAACTGTACTGACAAGTTTATTTATTCATTTTTTTTTTGTCTACGTAAATGACTTGTTGTATCTCAATTCTTTTCAATATAAAATTTTCCCTCTTTTTATGTATTTTGAGTGCAGGGACAAGGCAAATGTTTCCTCAGAGAAAAATTAATTTTTTCAAACAATTATAAGATTGTTCCTACATGGCATCAGTTTTGTGACGAGTACATATATGCCTAATTTGATATCTCTAAATATTCTATGATAATCACCTCTTTATACCCTGTCTTGTCTCAAGTACCAATAGGGTATGCTCTTTGCCTTTTCCTTGGACTCAAAGTAACAGGGTAGTAAGGTTATTTCAGATGGTTCTCTGTCCACAGTACGATATGCAATTTTCTGAAATAAAGGCCTAGATGCAATTGTTCTAGGTAGGTAATTTCCTGGGTGTAATAGTCCTGGGCCCCGTCTTACAAAGAGTTAATATCGATCACAACTTATTTGCGATTGCAACTATGTACATAAGAGATAGGAGACTGCAAACTAACGATTGATTGGAAGACTTGCAATTGATTTAGATAAATCAATTAATCGCAATTAGATCGATCGTAAATCTTTGTAAGACGGGGCCCAGGTGTTAGTTCCAGGGGTTAGTTGACATGGTTGTTGCTTCAAGTCCTCCTTCATAGCTTCATTTCTTTAATTCTTTCCATTTCTTCTGTATTTCATGTTCATGTAGATTAAGGAAGCTAATTTCTGGGGCGATCACTACATAGTGAGTGGATCAGACTGCGGACATGTATTCCTCTGGGATCGCTACACAGCCAAACTCGTTATGCTGCTAGAGGGCGACAAACATGTTGTGAACTGCGTCCAGCCCCACCCTATTGATCCCAGTAAGTACCTTGTGCGTGTAGTAGAAGTAGTAAAGTAGCACAGTATGGTTCGATGTGTGGGGTGGCAGCATGAGGTACATATAGTGAGCAAGGATAAATTGCTCACACTTATTTCTATTTTGCTTCTGTAGGAATTATTTTACTGATGAAACCGAATGACCTACATGTACCCTGCTTTTTAAAGGAGACATGAGTAAATAAATAAAAACAAAAACAAATAATGTTCCTAATCTTTGTCGTTGGTTTCAGTCCTAGCTACCAGTGGTATTGATTACAATGTGAAGCTTTGGGCACCCGTAGCGACTGAACCATACTTCCCGGAGAATTCAGTTGAGGTAAGATGTTAGTTGTCATGGTTAATAAGTAGTATTGAACTATCAAATTTTAATTTGAGCAAGAATCATATTACAATTAATGCCAAGTATCCCTGCAATACTGCTGTGATTGCCTGTAAAACTTTTGCTTAACATCCTTGTTGTGGCTTTTTTTTAGTCTGAAGACTACAAGACTAGCAGTAAAAAACAAGTTCTTTTTTCATCAGAGTGACTATTCTAATTTTAAAGCTTTGGCAGTCCCACACCATGCAGAATTATGTACTTCATGTTAACTTTATTGGCCAATTCAGCTACATTTGTATCACTATGACTAAAACATACTTATATTACAACCACAAGGTCAAACATATTCACACTGACTTCACATTTCATCCCGCCCAGTTCTAGTCCTCCTTGATCTTTCTGATCTCCTGCCTTCTGTATGAATACAATATTGTGGTGCTGTGTGGTTGAAATTTTACACTTACCAAATTCTTAACTTGTGCCCTGGACCAAATGATACACCGAACCCTACCTTAACACTGAACCTTGTATAGATAATCCCTGAAGCAGCCTCTCCCAGCTAAACTTGGATGGGATGTACTGGGACAGCAGTTGATGGTGCAGACAACTTACCCTAAACGTAAAGCCCACCGCATTACTTGTAGCTACTTGCTCCCTCTATATAGAAAACAATGCCTAAGCGGTGCCCGTTGGTTCCCCATGATCCCCTTTTTCTTATGTTAATTGAGAGCTGATTTGATGAGATAAACACCCGTCGGTGACCTTGCAGGGAGGTCTGATCCCCCCCTGGCCAAACTAGGGCAGACAAGTTTTAAACTTGAATGCAACTTTCACCCTAGCCCGTTGTCTTTGATCAAATAGAAACCCAGACCAATAGTTGTTGTAGCAAATGTCAGAGCACCAACGAATGTATCTTTGATGTTTCCTTGTTACATCAGGTGATGAGAATCAATGAACTGATGCTGGAGGAGACGAGAGATACCATCACCGTACCACCTTCTTTCATGCTGAGGATGCTGGCATCGTTGAATCATCTTAGAGGAGGTAACTATAGCAACAAAGAGATGATGGATGGATGGTGATGGGGGGGGGGGGTAAGTGTTGGGCTATCCGTCATGATGAATGGATGGTGATGGGGGGGGGGGGGGGGGTAAGTGTTGGGCTATCTGTCATGATGAATGGATGGTGATGGGGGGGGGGGTAAGTGTTGGGCTATCTGTCGTGATGTTGAGATTTTAATGGTTTTGATAATAACGATGATGAAAATTGATAGTGATGATGATGATGACAGTGATGACGACGACATCATTTTTGGAATGATGATTTTGATTTTATGGAGATGCAACATACCGGTAGGTAGTTTGTGCAATTGATACCAGTGAAATTGATGTTGATAGTCATGATGATGATGATACAGATGATGATGATGTTGATGATTACCATAGTAGTTATGATAGGGTTTTTTAATTCATGACATTGATGTCAATGTTGATCGACGTTAATGTGAAAGCTGTTATAATGATTCAGATTTTAACCCAATCTATTTAATATGTAATGATATCAATTTTGAAAGACTGATCTACAAATTTGTATATGTTGAATGGGCGTCAGATGAAAGTAAACATAACATTGTCCTTATAGCCCATTTGAATAATCTTCTTATTGTAATTTCTTTCAGATCGTGGAAGATCCGCTGACCCTCGATCTGCTAGTGAGAGCTCTGATGATTAGACTAGATCCTGCTTATTAGTGCCTGGTTTATTTACTGAAGAAAATAAAGGATTACATTAAAAATTACACATAGGGCTCGCAGGTAACCCAAGTCAGACTTGTGTTTCGTGCATGCCCTATTCTATGTGAATGTGCTAAAGGAAACCTCACCCCATAGAATAAATGTAGGTATTCTGAAAAGGATCTGATGTATTTCTTACAAAAGTGTACAAGAGATGAAGATATTCTTGGCAAGATGTGATGCCTTTTAGCCTGACATGGGTGCAGCCATTTTCTTGCTTTATGCCTCTCTCGTACACTTTGGTGGGGAATCTTGTAGATTGATGTGCAAGAATACAATAATTCTTTCAGAAGAACTATGGTTTTTCCTTGGGTGAGGTTTCCTTTATGTAGTCTACCAAAAGAGATGTTTTACAGTTGACTGGGAGTGTATTTGAATTGCAATATCTCTGTGTAGAAGAATATTTGAAGCTCTGGTTTGACTAGATATAATAACATGAAACTTCTTACATCAAGAGCAAAAAGGGTCTTGGGGGTCGGTATACTGATAAGTCAGCTATGGATATGGATGAAGTGGTTTAAGTGTGCATGGATCTTTAAGAATGCTTGGGGGAAGAACAAAATAATGGAGTTTTTCAAATTATCCTTTTACATTTTTATTTGGTATGTTTCTTCATTTTTCTGGATGCATTTGAAAACATGATGTGTATTCTGATGCACTTGTATTTATTCAAATACTGGTATGTTTATTGAGTGCATATATTGTAGGCAAAATGCCAACAGTATCTAGTTATTTAATGTTTTGAACAAATAGTTCTGTTTTCCTCGAGTTTGGTTTTATTGGCAAGCTTGATGATCAAAATGCTAGTTTAAAGGAAATTCATAGTTCCCCCTACCCCGCCCCGGCAATGTTTAAGGGTACCTTGAAATGTTGAATAATACTTTATACTGCATTTTTATTTCCCCCATTTTCGTTTTTGTAGCAACAGATCTTGCCAGTACTTTATATAGTTTACCATACTAGGGAATGGGTTATGTAGTCTTATTTATGCCATTGTCTTCATGTTATTTTTTAATGTAAATCTTTGTCAAACACAGGGTTTTATTTTGAACAATTTTTCTACATGTATTTGGAATACAAATGGTAGCTAGTATGCACATTTTTTAAATATTTTTTAGTATCGGTATAACTTATGATGTGAATTTTAGTTTTCCCTACATATTTGATGTATAGTGGATGCATTATTAAAGGTACAAGTTTGAAAAAGGCTGAAATTCCACAAGATAACCCCAAAACAATGTTAGTGAAATTTACTTCAGAAGATGATGAGAAACCAAAAGAAATTTTTGTTATGCAGTCAGAGAAAATATATACATTGTCCTGTACTTCATATATGCATTGCAATCTGAAAATATTATTTGTTATTTGCTGCCAAAAGTCAAAATTCAGTTGAGTTTAGATACTTGATGTATAATCTTATAAGCATTTTGCATGGTTTATGCAGTGAAGTTCAAGAAATCATGCTAAAATGTACTGATTTGCTGTGTTAAATCTTCAAATCTTAGTTATGCTATGTACTACGTGCAACTGAATGGTGGCATTTTTGTGTCTTTGAAAAGCTTTGTACGGATCGGCTTAACTTTTAGAGTATGCTTATTGAATAGTGAAGATGTCGTAAGTGCATTGTTTATACGTACATCCACAATTGTTGGATGTACGTTCATATGTATCATGATTTACATGGTAAATGTATGTATATGTACATAAAATTATTTATAAGTATATTTATATTTATATTATCAAAACATTTCTTTTTGGCTCTAGCATGACATGCTAAATTATCATGGAAATGGTGTGATTTTTTTTTTTTAATTATTATTTATTGTCGTACATATACTGTACATGTATGTGTAACAGCATATCTGACTGTTCAAAACAGTGAGGAAAGTTGAAATAAATTATACAGGCATATGACAGTTTATCTACCACGTGTCTCGATTCTAAGCCTCAAATTTGCGGTATGGTGAAGAACATTGATCAGGCATAATTGTGTGTTTGTATGCACGCACATAGCTATGGCAATTAAGATACGCCGGTGCGCGGCCAGCACCATATCATACATGTACAACAAACAAAATTTTGAAAGAGCGGTCGATGAGAATTATGTTACGGTACCGTATTTCAAACATTGACTGCTTCTTTTGCACATCACGGTTAAAACCATGGCCCTCGGTGATCTTGAAACTGCGCTGTGACCAACATTTGTATAATATTTTATAGTTTGGAAAAAGAAGAAAAGAGTGAAAAGGAAAAGGATAGAACTAAGGGGATAAAATGGTATATCGAGAAAGAGGCAAAATGATGGGCTAACCCCTTGCCATTTTTCTCAAAAAGGGGCATTTTTCACATTTCACAAAATGATCTGCAAAAACATATTTTGAACAGACAGGGGTCATAGGCACCTTCGACAGTTGAAGAAAGGCCTTTTTGAAAATTAATGAATTTTGGCCAAAATGATGGGCTAACCCCTTGCCATTTTTCTCTAAAAAGGGGCATTTTACACATTACACAAAATGATCTGTAAAAACATATTTTGAACAGACAGGGGTCAAAGACATCTTCTAGAGATGAAAAAAGGCCTTTTTGAAAATTAATGAATTTTGGCCAAAATGATGGGCTAACCCCTTGCCTTTTTTCTCGAAAAAGGGGCATTTGTTACATATCACGAAATGATCTTTAAAAACATATTTTGCATAGACATGGGTCAAAGACATCTTCTAGAGATAAAAAAAGGCCTTTTTGAAAATTCATAAATTTTGGCAAAATTTTTTCTCAAAAAGGGGCATTTTTCACATTTCACGAAATGATCTGCAAAAACATATTTTAAACAGACAGGGTTTAAAGACATCTTCTAGAGATGAGAAAAAGTCTTTTTGAAAATTCATAAATTTTGGCCAAAATGATGGGCTAACCCCTTGCCATTTTTCTCAAAAAGGGGCAATTTTCACATTTCACAAAATGATCTGCAAAAACATATTTTGAACAGATAGGGGTCAAAGACATCTTCTAGAGATGAAAAAAGGCCTTTTTGAAAATTCATGAATTTTGGCCAAAATGATGGGCTGAACACTTGCCATTTTTCTCAAAAAGGGGCATTTTTCACATTTCACGAAATGATCTGCAAAAGAATATTTTGAACAGACAGGGGTCAAAGACATCTTCTAGAGATGAAAAATGGCCTTTTTGAAAATTCATAAATTTTGGCCAAAATGATGGGCTAACCCTTTGCCATTTTTCTCAAAAAGGGGCATTTTTCATATTTCACGAAATGATCTGCAAAAACATATTTTGAACAGACAGGGGTCATAAACATCTTCTAGAGATGAAAAAAGGCCTTTTTGAAAATTCATGACTTTTGGCCAAAATGATGGGCTAACCCCTTGCCATTTTTCTCAAAAAGGGGCATTTTTCACATTTCACAAAATGATCTGCAAAAACATATTTTAAACAGACAGGGGTCAAAGACATCTTCTAGAGATGAAAAAAAGGCCTTTATGAAAATTAATGAATTTTGGCCAAAATGATGGGCTAACCCCTTGCCTTTTTTCTCAAAAAAGGGGCATTTGTTACATATCACGAAATGATCTTTAAAAACATATTTTGCATAGACAAGGGTCAAAGACATCTTATAGAGATGAAAAAAAGGCCTTTTTGAAAAGTCATAAATTTTGGCCAAATTTTTTCTCAAAAAGGGGCATTTTTCACATTTCACAAAATGATCTGCAGAAACATATTTTGAACAGACAGGGGTCAAAGACATCTTCTAGAGATGAAAAAAGGCCTTTTTGAAAATTAATGAATTTTGGCCAAAATGATGGGCTAACCCCTTGCCTTTTTTTTCAAAAAAGGGGCATTTGTTACATATCACGAAATGATCTTTAAAAACATATTTTGCATAGACATGGGTCAAAGACATCTTCTAGAGATGAAAAAAGGCCTTTTTGAAAATTAATAAATTTTGGCCAAAATGATGGGCTAACCCCTTGCCATTTTTCTCAAAAAGGGGCATTTTTCACATTTCACGAAATGATCTGCAAAAACATATTTTGAACAGACAGGGGTCAAAGACATCTTCTAGAGATGAAAAAAAGGCCTTTTTGAAAAGTCATAAATTTTGGCCAAATTTTTTCTCAAAAAGGGGCATTTTTCACATTTCACAAAATGATCTGCAGAAACATATTTTGAACAGACAGGGGTCAAAGACATCTTCTAGAGATGAAAAAAGGCCTTTTTGAAAATTAATGAATTTTGGCCAAAATGATGGGCTAACCCCTTGCCTTTTTTTTTCTTCAAAAAAGGGGCATTTGTTACATATCACGAAAGGACCTTTAAAAACATATTTTGCATAGACATGGGTCAAAGACATCTTCTAGAGATGAAAAAAGGCCTTTTTGAAAATTCATGAATTTTGGCCAAAATGATGGGCTAACCCCTTGCCATTTTTCTCTAAAAGGGGCATTTTTCATATTTCACGAAATGATCTGCAAAAACATATTTTGAACAGACAGGGGTCATAAACATCTTCTTTAGATGAAAAAAGGCCTTTTTGAAAATTAAGGAATTTTGGCCAAAATGATGGGCTAACCCCTTGCCTTTTTCTCAAAAAAGGGGCATTTGTTACATATCACGAAATGATCTTTAAAAACATATTTTGCATAGACATGGGTCAAAGACATCTTCTAGAGATAAAAAAAAGGCCTTTTTGAAAAGTCATCAATTTTGGCCAAATTTTTTCTCAAAAAGGGGCATTTTTCACAAAATGATGGGCTAACCCCTTGCCATTTTTCTAAAAAAGGGGCAATTTTCACATTTCACAAAATGATCTGCAAAAACATATTTTAAACAGATAGGGGTCAAAGACATCTTCCAGAGATGAAAAAAGGCCTTTTTGAAAATTCATAAATTTTGGCCAAAATGATGGGCTAACCCCTTGCCATTTTTCTCAAAAAGGGGCATTTTTCACATTGCACAAAATGAACTTTAAAAACATATTTTGCACAGACATGGGTCAAAGACTTCTTCTAGAGATGAAAAATGGCCTTTTTGAAAATTCATAAATTTTGGCCAAAATGATGGGCTAACCCCTTGCCATTTTTCTCAAAAAGGGGCATTTTTCACATTTCACGAAATGATCTTTAAAAACATATTTTGTATAGACATGGGTCAAAGACATCTTCTAGAGATGAAAAAAGGCCTTTTTGAAAATTAATAAATTTTGGCCAAAATGATGGGCTAACCCCTTGCCTTTTTTTTCAAAAAAGGGGCATTTGTTACATATCACGAAATGATCTTTAAAAACATATTTTGCATAGACATGGGTCAAAGACATCTTCTAGAGATGAAAAAAGGCCTTTTTGAAAATTAATGAATTTTGGCCAAAATGATGGGCTAACCCCTTGCCATTTTTCTCAAAAAGGGGCATTTTTCATATTTCACGAAATGATCTGCAAAAACATATTTTGAACAGACAGGGGTCATAAACATCTTCTAGAGATGAAAAAGGCCTTTTTGAAAATTAATGAATTTTGGCCAAAATGATGGGCTAACCCCTTGCCTTTTTTTTCAAAAAAGGGGCATTTGTTACATATCACGAAATGATCTTTAAAAACATATTTTGCATAGACATGGGTCAAAGACATCTTCTAGAGATGAAAAAAGGCCTTTTTGAAAATTAATGAATTTTGGCCAAAATGATGGGCTAACCCCTTGCCATTTTTCTCAAAAAGGGGCATTTTTCATATTTCACGAAATGATCTGCAAAAACATATTTTGAACAGACAGGGGTCATAAACATCTTCTAGAGATGAAAAAAGGCCTTTTTGAAAATAAATGAATTTTGGCCAAAATGATGGGCTAACCCCTTGCCATTTTTCTCAAAAAGGGGCATTTTTCACATTTCACAAAATGATCTGCAATAACATATTTTAAACAGACAGGGGTCAAAGACATCTTCTAGAGATGAAAAAAAGGCCTTTATGAAAATTAATGAATTTTGGCCAAAATGATGGGCTAAATTTTACCCTTGCCATTTTTCTCAAAAAGGGGCATTTTTCACATTTCATGAAATGATCTGCAAAAGCATATTTTGAACAGACAGGGGTCAAAGACATCTTCTAGAGATGAAAAAAGGCCTTTTTGAAAATTATTAAATTTTGGCCAAAATGATGGGCTAACCCCCTTGCCATTTTTCATATTTCACGAAATGATCTGCAAAAACATATTTTAAACAGACAGGGGTCAAAGACATCTTCTAGAGATGAAAAAAAGGCCTTTATGAAAATTAATGAATTTTGGCCAAAATGATGGGCTAACCCCTTGCCTTTTTTCTCAAAAAAGGGGCATTTGTTACATATCACGAAATGATCTTTAAAAACATATTTTGCATAGACAAGGGTCAAAGACATCTTCTAGAGATGAAAAAAAGGCCTTTTTGAAAAGTCATAAATTTTGGCCAAATTTTTTCTCAAAAAGGGGCATTTTTCACATTTCACAAAATGATCTGCAGAAACATATTTTGAACAGACAGGGGTCAAAGACATCTTCTAGAGATGAAAAAAAGGCCTTTTTGAAAATTCATGAATTTTGGATAAAATGATGGGCTAACCTCTTGCCTTTTTTTTCAAAAAAGGGGCATTTGTTACATATCACGAAATGATCTTTAAAAACATATTTTGCATAGACATGGGTCAAAGACATCTTCTAGAGATGAAAAAAGGCCTTTTTGAAAATTAATAAATTTTGGCCAAAATGATGGGCTAACCCCTTGCCATTTTTCTCAAAAAGGGGCATTTTTCATATTTCACGCAATGATCTTTAAAAACATATTTTGCATAGACATGGGTCAAAGACATCTTCTAGAGATGAAAAAAAGCCTTTTTGAAAAGTCATGAATTTTGGCCAAATTTTTTCTCAAAAAGGGGC